TCAAAGCCGAACTGTGTCCTCCAAATCGAAGAAATGCGTCTTTCCAGTGTTTCGAATCTGTTCCTGAAGGTCCGGCTCCACCGTGCATTGACCTCGCAAATTTTTCTATATAAGAAGAAGTGATGGTTACTGTTTCTAACTCAGGCAAGCTATCTACTTGTATTCTTGCTCCTTCTTTTGACTGTTTTGCTACGGGATGCTTCTCTTTCAGAATGTCAATGACTAATTTTCTTGTTTTTGTTGTGGGATCATTAACTTCGTCATTTGGATGGAGCAGACCTCCGCCAGATCTGCTTGTCAGCCAACGCATGGCAGACCGAACTTTCCCTTCCATCATCATTCGTGCAAAAACCACTGCGGTGTGCTCGTCTTCAGATCTGTTTTTTATCATAGGTTTCCTCGGTTGTTTTTGTGAACATCGTTTGGATTCTTGTAGTAGAATATTGAACTTACTATTTTCCCAGTCTTCAAGTCGTCTTCCTACCAAAGCTCTCACATCACGTGTGGTTTTTATCATTGGGTCCCGCTGTAAGATTAATCGGCTGAATACAAGAAGTCGTTCTGAACATTCGTTTTGGTTCAATCGGCAGATTTCTTTCGTTAAAAGATCAACGTATTTACGGCCAATGTTTCCCCCCGGGACTAAATACAGTTTGCCTTGGAGGTTCACACTCTCATTCCATCTGTTCCCCCATTCAGTTTCTTGAACTTCCTTAGATATGTCGAGAGACCCTCCAAAGGCGTCAAACAAACAGTTTGTGACGTTTTCTGTAATGGGTACGACAGGATAATGGTCTTGCTCACTGAGGGTCATAACACGAAGCTGTTGAGTCGCCCCAGTATGTTGTTCTTCATTTTCTATTTTGTCTACGGTTTCGTTGTATGAATCCTCTTGTTCATCGTCACTAACTCTCTGCGACGCTGAAACGGTGTCCTCTTTTGGATTTTCTTCCGAGTGATCACGAAAACCAAAATAAGACGGTGGTCTTATCGTTCTGTCGCTTCTCCTCATCATTTCGTGTCGGGGTTGGCAAACTCCTCAATAGTTGCAATAGTTGCAATAGTTGCAATAGTTGCGATAGTTGCTATTGTTGCAATAGTTGCAATAGTTGCAATAGTTGCAATTGTTGCAATAGTTGCAATTGTTGCAATAGTTGCAATTGTTGCAATAGTTGCAATAGTTGCAATAGATGTCAATGTTGTTGCGGTTCTTGTTGTTTTTTTTCTTTTCTTTTCTTGCTTAACAAGACACGTGCTAAATTTTCGCTTTTTATAACTTTTTTTCTTATTGTAGTTAAATAAGTTAAACCGACAGTTACCTTATTTGTAAAAAAAGGAAACAAAAACAAAAGAACACCAAAACAAGTTCTTGAAAATGCTGTACTTTCGAAGTCGACAATTTTGGATTCAAAGCTATCAACCCTTAATCGAGACATACTTTAAATGGAAAAAAATATCAATTAAGAGAAAAATATTTGTGATGGAATCCATACTAAAGTACCGATTACAGGTTTAGGTTGTAAATTATAGTGAAACTCTATACGATGCTGTGACTTTTATAACTTTTGATTGTAAATTAACATCTTTTTCAAGTCTTCATTTATTTTTAGTAATTTTTAGTAAATCTAATCAAAGTTACATTTTGTAGCAACATCCTTTCGGGTATTTAAAACTTCAAAAACAAACTCAAAATCTGCCCAATTGCAGTATAATTCCATTTTTTCAAAAACAGAAAGTTCTAAACAAGCAGTTTCCAACCAAAAGTGGTCCTGTGCAAGCATAATGGCGTATCGAGGTTTCAAGATTGATTCTCGAACGTTGTCAACTTTTTTTAAAGAATGCTTTGAAAATTTTACAACTCCATCCAAAAATCGGCTCGCTGAAAAAGCGAACTTTGTCTAAAAAAAACAAAAGAATGCTCGTATATCAGGGCAAAGCCCTGAATGCTCCGTCTGTCCCTCAATTGCTTTAAATTAACTTTCAAAGGAAATTTTTATACTTTTGATTTTTTAATCGCCAATTTTAGTGCTAATTTAGTGCTATTGTTCTTAGCATGTTTAAACTTTCATCTTTACTTCTGCCGTCAACATGAGGTGATTTCTAGCTGTTATTCTCAATTTTAGTTCACTGATAGTTAATTTGTGTATTTAAACAAAACGAGTCCAAACTTTATAGTTACAAGCTCTTTTTGTTGTGCGTAGAACACTGGTTTCCCGAACACTGGACGAGTTCTTGAAGAAGCTATGCTTTTGAAGTCCACGATTGTGGGTTCAAAACCACCAACCTATACTCTGGACATACATTAAACTAAAAAGAGTATTTATTAAGAGAAAATGTTTTTGTGATGGAATTCATGCTAAAGTATTGAAGTTACAAGTTTAGGCTGTAAGTTCTAGTAAAATTCTATACGATGCTGTGATGTTTTAAATTTTTTTTTGTAAGTTGAGATCTTTTCTCAAATCTAATTTATTCGGAGTCTCAATTTACTTGTTCTCCAATTGGGTTTCAAATTATATTCTACGTAACTTTTTTCATTGACATTTACCAGTCAGATAACGGGCGTCCGAAAATTTGTTTATAAAAATTTGAAGTTTTCAAAAAAAAGCTGCAAAAACATTTTTTTACCTTTTCCTTGCCATGAAAGACCGTTGATCCTCAACTACTCTTTTTAATAACTTAACACACTGCAAATTCTACGCCCTATCCAAATAGATAACAAAGAGGCCGGAATGTCTGTTCCTGTCCTGATACATGGTTGCAACGTATTAAGATAGGGAGTAGAGAATCCGTTTTCCTAGTGAATCCCTCTGCAATTACCAATGCAACATATACAAATAAAAAAAACGTATTGAAGTAATTAAGAATTAAACAAGCAGTTTCCAATCAGACAATGTGCTTTAAGTGCAAGCATAGCTGCGCATCAAGATTTCCGGGTCGCTTTTCGCACGTTGTTTTTTTTTTTTCATTTTGAAACTGGTTTGAAAGCCTTACAACTCCATCCGAAAATCGGTTTGCTGAAAAATCAAACATCGTCTGTATAAAAAACAAGACAACTTGTGCATCAGGGCAAAGCCTCGAATGCTCCGACTACCCTCATTTGTTATCAATCTTTACATTTTTCAACTTGAGATAATTTCTAGATCCGCTGTCATTTCCATTTCTAATTCACTGAAAACAAATTTATGTAAGTTAGACATTACAAGTCCAGACTGTTTCTAGATAGGCACACTTTTTTGATGTGTCCAGAACACTGTTGACGCCACGATCAAAGGAAACACAAGATCAAAAAATTTTCATAGAGAGCGTCCTTGTTATGAAATTCACTTACAATTCACAATATACAACTTTCAGTCTCGTAAGGAAGTGTTTGAAAAGATTGGACTACAATTAGCTATATTTTGTTTGTTAAATCAGGGGTGCTCGTCGGGTGGTGTATTGGACCGTCTTTTTTTCACAAAAAGATCTTCAATTGGAAAAAATTTCCGACATCTGTTTTTCTTTACAATTGTTTCGGTGGAAGGTTGCGACCGTCCCTCATTTGGGTGCAAAAAAAATTCTGAAAAGAAATTCTGATAATTATATTTTCTATTGCTTAGTGCTATTTAGGGCTAATTTAGTGCTATTGTTCTTAGCATATTTAAACTATCATTTTTACTTTTTAACTTCAATATGAGGTAATTACTAGCCCTGCTGTCATTATTGTTCCGACTTTCGATACGAAAGTAACGGAATATTTGTGCTCGGGGTGCGTTTTTTTCTTCAGACAAATTTCGACTTTTTAACTAGCCATTTTTGACGGAATTTATTTATATCATTCGAAAAGTATTGTTGTCCTGAGCTCAAATTTGAAAAGATATTTCACCTGTGATCATTTTTCGTAAAGTTACGGGGGTTTAAAGATTGCAATTTTGGCCAATTTGGGACAATTATCGCGCGATATTTCGCGCTATTAACGCGTAAGCGGAGAGTTAATCCGTCTTAGAAATCGTTCCTTATTGGTTAAAAGAAGCTTATTTGCCATAATTGGTTTGTTACAAGGAGCGAAATATATCCTTTTGTACTTTATATGGCGTGTGGGGGATGATTTTCATAAAAAATTTCAAATTTTAGAAAAAAAAATCCATTTTTTTATTTCATTGATTTTTTAATGTTATTACTGCTCCATAAACCTTAAAAGGCAGTCGGATCATTCAGGGCTTCGCCCTGTTACGAGCAGTCTTGTCAGTTTTAATTCACTGACATCTAATTTTATTTAATTTAAACAATACGAGTCCAAACTATTTATAGATAGAAGCCTTTTTTGCACAAAATTTCATAGAGAGCGTACTTGTAGTGAAATTCACTTAAACGTCACAATATACATAGTTTGGTCTCGTAAAGAAGTGTTTGAAACAATTGGAATACAATTAGCTATATCCAATTTGTTAAATTTTGTTGGTATGAGCTATTCACAAGGTCCTCATTTGGTAGTTTTTCTACATCCGTTTTTGTTTAGAATTGTTTCAAGGGAGCCGCTGATGCCTATGCGAATTAATACTTTTGAGCGGAAAGCGTGAAATGAAAAAAAAAACAGGCAAAGGATATCGCGCTTTAATTATCCTAAATTGGCAAATTTAGCAAATTCCAAACCCCTATAATTTAATTTAAAATTATCACAGGTGAGTTGTTTTCAATAATTGAGCTCCAGATATCAATATAACTCACGTGATAAAATAAAGCTCATCAAAACTGCTGAGTTAGAAAGACAAAAATTGACTTAATACAAAAACAGCCCAAGCATAAATACTTCGTTTTGTTTTCGAAAGTCGGAACAACCGCTCTTTTTACATAAAACTCTTTTGACACGGTATAAAGGAACACTTTTACACTTGGCTCAGATACCTTCATTTTGATTGAAACTCCAGGCCAAACTGATTTATTCGTTACTATTTTCTACAGTAGGAACAATAATTTGAGCCAATAAATAATCATAATAAATTGTTTCCAAACAATATCTAGTTACAGAGTTAATTATAAAAATTTAGAAATACAAGTTACAAATAAAAAAGTTTCAAAAATATTTACAGAAATTACAAATATATTATACAAACTTTACAGAAAATTTACTTAATCATAAAATATTATTTACTTGTCTTCTTTAGCAGCGTAAATAGTAGCAATTGTATCGGGGTTAAAAGGTGTCAATCAGAAATCAGATTGCCAAATTTTTACGCCAGTTCGAAAGGTAAGGTAATCCTCCTCGCATAAATTTAACCCAACTTGTTATTTAGAGAGCTCTTTTACACTCCTGCTGATAACCTAGATCCACCAAGAGTTAGTGGGACGGGGGTGGGAGATTGTAAAGCTTTTCTTCCGGAATTCGACCTTCTGACAACTCAAAGGGTCTCTTTTGGCATCAATTATCAGGTGACCGGCCAAAGCACTGTGAATAGACAAACAATTATTTTACAAGTTATAGTATGGAAATAGTGAAGGATTTGGCATTTCTATTAGTTAAATTCCGGGAGTTCTGTCCTGGCTCATTTGGTACTAAGCCCATGTTACCTCATCGGGGTTCTGATAGAGGTCATCTCCACCGGCGTCTTCGAGTAAGGTTCGCAAACCATCAGACATCTGCTCCCTTTCCAACCCATAGTTCTGGGCAGTTCGATAGGCCTTCTGCATTTTCTGTTTGACTTCGCTCGACCCAATGTTTATTAGATGTTTGGCCAACACATCTACACTTTCGTCTTCTAAACCATATCTAACTCCAGCAGTATTTTCGAGTTCGAGCTTAGAAAGAACTTTCTGTTTGATGTTTTGAGGTTCCAAATCGTTCTCCAACTTGTTTGCTTCGTGTTTAAAAGTAATATCGATGTCTTTAATAATTTGAGACAAATGTTTTTCTTTGCAGTTGGCTGATTTTCCGTCAAATTTGTGCTTCAGTTCTTCGTAATTCCGCTGCAATCTAATTTTGTGATAGTTAATCATGTCCAAAGGTAAGGAGCGTGTTAATTTCAAAGCAGCAGCCTGAATATCGAGACATATGAAATCTTCCAAATACATATTGCAAACTTCTTTATGGAGAAATTTGATCCAATTTGTATTAAGGAGTCTCAAAAACTCTTTTATTTGTTCCACCCTGAGGCTGCTTTCGGTTGACACGTTTCGTAAAACAGATTTTGGGAGAATGTCGAAAAATATTCTCTCGTCCTCAAAACTCAATGCAATTTTTGAGGTCGAGGTGTCGTCGCACGTTTCCAAAAACTGATATTGAATGTCTCTTTCGTTTTGGAATTTGAAACAACCAATATCTTCCTTATCAGTGGGCACTTTAAACTTGTAAGTTATTGGCGGCTTCAAGGTTATTTCATCTTTGACTAACCGTATGGGTGTTTGTGCTTGTGCTTCTGGAACTAAAATATTGCATATCATGCCTGAGAGCACATTTTGAGTTTATACAAGAAATACTGGTTCGAAAAACTGTTTGTTAATACTAAATATTTGTGGTTTATGGTTTCTTTTGTTAAGCTATTTTGTCAGTTAAGGGAACTTTTGGGGACTTCTGTTTATTTTTTCTTCCAAATCCGCTTACGCAAAGTTTTTTCTTTTCCGACTCATGCAACTTTACGAAAAATAATCACAGTTGAAATATCTTTTATAAATTTGGTATCAGTACAACAATACTTTTCTGATGATATAAAAAATTTTTGTCGAAAATGTCTAATTAAAAAGTCGACACTTGTCTGGAGAAAAAACCGCTCCGAGCACAAATGTTCCTTCATTTTCTGCGAAAGTCCGTAATTACAATTACAAAATCAATCATTGAGAAAAAAACTGACTGACTATGTGAAGATCTCGAACGTACGTTCCAATTGAAGCGTCAGTCGGCCCTTTGTGGGATATGTACACTTGCTGCTGATTGATTCAAAGTGCCAGTTCTCTTTCCATCTGAAACTGTCTTGTTCCGCCCAGCTTCTGAAATTCCTGACATCTAGCCTTAGTAAGTATGTACTGCCAATGACTGGATCTTTTTCCTGCTTCATAAGGAGGAAAATTTTCTGACTATTGAAGAGATGTCTCTGGTCGAAAGAGTTCAGGGGTCTCAAAAACTGCACTATCTATACAAACAAGACTTGTCACTTCAAGAACCCCCTCAGCAAACATGAACTAGAGAGTGAATAGCACGTCTACAGCTCTGGTTATTTTTTGCTTAATTTCTTTCATGGTTTTTTCAGGCTCACTTTTATTACTTGTTGCGCTCATTTGTATTACTTAAAGACATTCACAGCTTAAGTCATGTATAGTAAGAGTGTTCTCGATGTTTTAAGAGACTAAAGAATGGAAAAAACTTCATCGTGGGTATTCATAAGTTTAGTCACATTAAGAGACAGTTGTATCTCAAATAAATCGGAAACAACATACACTTCAAAAAAGTTTCGCATAAAACCGAAAATTCCTTAACATCCGATGTTTCTGTCAATTCATATAATATTTTCTGACCTCAACGAAATCTTTAAAAAAAAACAACTACTAGGCCTAGTTTTATATTTTCTACATATGCAGATTTGATGATCTTAGACCTGAAAAGTTCCTAATGAGACCTGAAAAGTTTCTTACACCTGAAAAACTCCTGAAAAGTCACCTAATCTATAGCCCTTTGATCATATTTTTGGCTGCGGTTTCCATGACCAAGGGCTAAAGCAAGCGCTGCGGAATCCGTGAACAAAACTGCGATCAAAATAGCGGATACCGGGATCAAATTTTCTACCTTGCGGAAAAAACTAAAGAATCCGCAACCGGCCGGATACGGATTTCGTGGTTTTCGCTTATGACCTCACCTCAATTATTTGGTATTTCATCGATCTCTGGTGTTTAATAGTTTAGTTTTAACCTTCAAGTTCTAACCTTAAATTAAACGTTTCTTGGAACCCGCACCGAGCTCCCATGGATCCTAATCGATTATATTGTCATTATATAGACAGTTTTATATATTTACAAAATAATCGAATATAATCCTTTAAAAATTGATTATAATGATATTATTTTTCACAGCAATAAAATCCATTATAGTCGATTAAAATCGATGCAATAGATTTTTTGTGATTTTTTTTCCAAAAATTTAAGTTGAATTATGATCCATTATAATCGAATAAAATTCTTAAGCGTTCGATGCGGGCATCACTTAGATTTTAGCTGATTTTACAATGTTATTTGGTTGTTGTTAGTTCAAATTAGTTTTTTTTTCAGTTTTTTTTTCTCGATTTTTTTTCAAGTTTTCGAAAAAACTTTAACACTTTCCGACATTAAAAATCTCTATTATGTAGACTGAGTAAAACTTATAACGCAATTAATTAACGCTTAGCATGCCTGAATGATAGCTTAAAATGATTAGCTTGCCTCAATTCATTTTGAATCAATTTTATTGTGCGGGATAACTGGCTGCGCATAAATACCTGCACCGGAGTCCAGTGGATAATAATCGACCATAATGCAAAATGGTTTTCTAAAGTGACCTTGCAACTCATTATGACCGCAAATTTAAACCATGAAATTGATTATTTTGTCTTATATTGTCATTAGAACCGATGGTTTCCCTAAAATACAATTCATTAGAAACCATTCGAAATCCATTATAGTTGATTAAATGGGTTATAACTTTAATTTTTTTTGCCAAATCACTTGCAAAATTGCAAAGTTTATTCGTAACTCACTCTCTACTCGCACCCTAAACCTACTTTATTTGCTATATTAGTCACATATATCGCCTCCATGTTTACCCCAGTTACACCCGCTCCAGTTTAGCATCCAGATATGCACCACTCCTAATGACCCACCAATCCCCCTAACCAAATTGACCCCCTCACCTTTAGTTCTCCACCGCACTTACTCATTTCTACCCCCTCCCCTCGCTTTCACTTTTGCCTTTTTGCTTTTACAATTTTTCAGTTTGGTTTCAGACCTTTTTGCTTTTACAATTTTTCATTATGGTAATAATCAGAATCTTTAAGATTCCTTAAAAGGCTGATTTCTAAGTCCTAAATTGTCCTTTGTTTTGATGATGTCAAATTCTAAGTAATCAATTTCGAACAAATCAAGTGATTATTTAACGATCAATATCAGCCGCTGTCTAACTGAGCACTCTGCCACTGTTTGCCGCTGACCGAGTCTGATTAAAAGAGTCATAAGTCCAACAGCTGTTCTTAATTTCCTTCGTCTGTATCGTTCTCTTTACTTTTCATTTTTATTGTCATTCGAATCGCCTTCAGTTTTCTCATTATAGACCTTTTTTTGACCATTATGGGGCTCGTTGAATTCTCATCGAACACGTCTCAAATTCTATTCGCTTTGAACTGATTATCAATGCAGCATGCCACAGGCCGCTGGCCGGGAAGTTCATGATTCTGTATTTGAAGCCGGCAAAAGTTTATTCTTAGTTATGTTTAAAAATCCACGGATTTTGTGAAAATAGGCCGACTGCATAGTTTCATGTTCTTCTACTCCTGTGCTTGCATTTTAGCTCTCTGATTCCGTGTCCTTTCCTCTTGTAACTTATACCTGCATCTAGCTAGAGAGAAATGAGAGTCTGCGAAACCGTCGCTTTGAGTTTGAACTAACTCTTTCGCTTTTTTTGAGGTTGCGTTTTTAGATTGCGCTTTTAAACAGCCTTTGGAATGAGAATTGAACTAAGTTTCAGCAGAGAAAAAGATTCCATTTTTTTAGTGATTATTACCATTGCTTACCCGAGTTATTTGATCACTAATGGATGCTGTGAGGGGCCCTAGAGTAGCAACGGACCGGAGGGCAGTTGTGGAAGAAAAGTTGGCGCAAATGCTTCTGAGTGGGGATGATGCCAACACAAGAAAAAATATTGGCTACACGGGTAAACAAAAATCAGTTGGACCACACAGACAAGTTTGATAAACTAATGGCATATTGTGAGGACCTCATTGAGTGGTTGAGGGAACAGGAAAAGTATTCGAGAAAGAATTCTGGACATCTATATAAACGAGTGCTTACCACCTATAGAGGCTGCTCGCATAACTTTGCTGACTCACTAACTTATGTGACTTCTACGGAAAACTGCAGTATATCTGTTCTTTGCTCCGACGAAAAAGATGCAAGCAACAAAATATGGACTCAGGTGAAATCACCAAAAGATGTACTCGCTCTTTAAAAACCAGAATTTGTACTTAAATGGGAGAACTTATTCCACTGCTATACCTTTCAAGCGAAACCTTGCTACCGCGATGAGAGATGAAAAATCGGCTAAGTTATTTCCCAATTTGTCTCCCGAGCAGAAAAAACACATAACAGAGTCCCTATATCAAATTACTAGTTCATATTAAAAAGTAAATGACGCTGTGGTGTTGCTGCTACTATGATACCCCTATCGACTGTTAAAATTTATTTGTGTTTAAACTGCAATAATCTGTGTTGTCGTATAATCAGTGTAATCAACTTATCTAATAGACAAAAATTTTTGCTAATTGAGCTTTCAACATGCTCAGGGATTTTGTGCTATGTATTTTTTGTAATATCCTATGACTAAAACAACTCAATTGTTATTGTTTATTTTCCTTAGTGACGTAAGTTTATTTAAAAAAATATGTTTTGTTGAATTATATTGATATGTCAAAGAATTTTCCATTGATTTTGGATAAAAACCAACATTGTTCCTATTTTCTTTTTATACTGAGCTTTCTATTAAGAACAGTATGATAAAAGATTGCTTGACACAAAAAAAATCTTCTTCTTTATGATTTATCAGCCCAAAATGATACAGAAGTTAACAGTAAAAACAAAACATCACGACAACAGCCATCAAACAATTAGGACAAAATTGATACAAACAGAATAAGATATTGATTTCAAAGCAAATTTCCGCTAAAATTCAAAAAAAACATAACTTGCGCAAATAAGGTTTAAAATGAAAAAAAATCATAAAAGCGAGTAAAGTAATTTTCAAAACAAAAAAGCAAAAGCCACACAAAAGGCTAAAATTTTTACAAGTCTAGGATTACATAAGATAATGGATCGAAGCTTAACTCGATATCAAATGTGACAACCGGTGTCGTTCTTTCTTTTTTTTGTATAGTTTCAACTGCCTCGTTTTGTTGTTCAGTGAAGCAATTTTTCGCTGATCTTGAAAAAAACGCAAATAGTATCAAAGTTAAAAATTTTTTTGCTTACGTTATAAGTAAATGTTATAGATGGTGAAGCGATTTTCGTTGATCTATCAATTTAATCAAAGTAACAATTTCACTTCTAACCAAAAAAAAATACCTGTTTGAAAGTTTTAACAAACACTATATTTCTTACCTTAGTGAAGTATCTAGCTATTCTTTTTTAGTTAGTGAATTTTTAAAGATTAAGGTAGGGGAGAGCAAAGCTATTTCCGTTGAATTCTCAATGTCATCTCTGATTTGTAAAATTGATCTTTTTTTCTCAGATTAAGTTTTAAAATCAAATATAGCCAAGCATGCACTGCTCATATAACTGGTTTTTTTTCTCCTTGTTTTTAAAACTAAAACAAAAACTATTTTTTTTTAAAACCATCTCATGCAGTTCTGAGCACAGATAAAAAGACAAAACGTTTGTTGAACAATATTTACAAGTTCTTGCGACAATCTGTACAACTTAAATATTTACAACTTCTTGCGACAAATAATTTCTTGCGACAAACTTACCAACAAATGGCAGTTCTGGAAAATTGGCCAAAAATTTAAACCAAATTAAACCGAAATGCTTTTCCTACATTATACCCTCTTGGAGCCAATTATGATGAATTGGATGTACTGCCTCGGCAACAAAAGTTGAAGCCGTTTTTGTTGTTCTAACAAAAACTTGGCTTATGGACATATCTACTCTTAAAAGTTTTTGCCAAAATGATTTTAAGCACATAGCTACATGAAACAAACCCAAAAGTAGAGGTGGAAGAGTAGCAATTCTTTCCAGGGAAGTAAACATTTGAAAGATCTTGAAACGTACAGCCTCAGAAGAAATCCAAATTCTTATGGTCTCGACGATCTGTAACAAACAGAAATGGTTCCTAATTGCAGTTTACAAGTCGCTCAGTTCACAAAATAAAAAAATGTTCGAAATTTTTTTGACCCATATGTTTGAATGAAATTTTGACACGAAAGATGAACATATAATAAGTCAGGACTATAAGATAGATTTACCTGTTGTGACACATGATAGCATGCAATTCCTTGAGAAAAGAGAATTGCTTGATTTTAATCTGATATCTGGGCCAAATGACAGCACGCGTGTTACACAGAATTCTCGAACAACCATAGATTTTGCCTTTGCAAATTTTCTATGCACCTTAGAACTATTGAACACGCAATCACTGATCATTATGGTGTTGAGGTTGACTTCATCATTGAACTCATAAGAAACTATGAAATGGAGGATTTTAACGGGAGAAACTATTGAAAATTGCAAAAGCAGGAATTCAAATTTGAGTTCAAATGGATTTTACATTAAGAAATCCGAAAACGAGTTTGAAGAAAATGCAATTGGTACTGATGAAAAATTTGAGTTCCTGCAGCAGCACTTTCACAATACTCTGGATACAATTTTTGCCGTCGTCAAAAAAAAAAACTAATAAACAAAGCTGGATAACGAACAATATCAAAAATCCGAGTGCCAAAAAACACAAATTACGTATCAAAGTCAGCGGTTTTTAGAGGCGAGGTAAAAATTGAGACAGCAAACCGTCAAAGTCAAAAAAATTGTAGCAGAAAAAAAAATTACAACGGCTTGTTCTTTGAAAACACTGGACAACCCCCAAAATTTTTTTTTGATTATGTGAAAGAAGTTAACGGCAATAATGAGAAAAAAAGTTGAAATACCGAAGAAAATTTTTTAACTGCACAAGAATTGAACGACCATTTTGTCACAATTGGTCCACAGTTGTCATCTGGATTTCAAAAACAGAGTGATTTTGCCAAAATTATTGCAAATACAAACTCTTTCTTCCTGTTACAAATTGATGATCAGGAATTCTTTGACGCAATTAAGCAACTGCCCAACAAAAAGTCTAGAGGTGACATGGGTCTGTCAAATTTCCTAATAAAAAAAACTGTTATTATTATAACAGCTCATTTGACCATTAAGTTCAACCGAATAATTAGCAAAACAGTTTTTCTCAGTTTTCCTAAATCAGCAAAAACAGTTCCTATTTTCAAAGAAGTCATTTCCATGCAATTATAAACTTATTTCTTTAGTTCTAGGAAAACCCTTAATTTTAAGTGTCATCTTTACGGGCTGAGAGGCATTCCTCTTAATTTTGTGAAATTTTATTTCTGTAGGAGAAACCAGCATGCCTTTCATTCGAACAACTGTTCAACAACAGAGAAGCTTCATTGTGGGTTACCTCAAGGTTTTTCTTGGGTCCCCTGTTTTTTCTTATATATATTAATGATCTTCAGAAAATACCACAATACAGTAAATGTATTCTTTATGCGGATAAACACTAATGTTTTGGAACATTCAACGAACCTAAAGAACTTGAAACAGACTTGGAAAAAATATCCGAATGAAACAACAAACTTACAACAAACAAGGGAAAAACACAAATAAGGATTACTAATGGATTAAAAACCTTGGAAAGTGTTACTTGGAACCAAAACACGAGAGAACAAAAAAGTGCAGTTAAATACCTGGGTTTAGTTTGGGATCAAAGTGTTAGCTTCAACCAACAGATTGAATCAGTAAGAAAAAATGCAATCAATTCTTATCCATTTTTTAAAATCAAACAAGACAGTTTCTCAGCTCATCTGTTCTCATTGGAATTTACAAGCAGTCTAAACAAGCAATTTTTTCAACATGGTGTCCTATTATACCGAGTTGCCAAAAAAATCGTTTGAAAAATTTGCAAGTACAAGAAATTTTAATTTGAATTGCGTTCCGTCTCAAAAAAAACACGCAAAGTAAGGACTATAAAAAAAAACGGGAATTTGTTTAATCAAAGAGTTACACATATACGAACTGCTGAAATTACTTTCTATACTAATAAGACGAGAACATGAAAATGACAACGTGAATAATTTCATTTTAAAACAAGAATTAAGAAAAAATCAATCAATACGACTAGAAGAATAAAATCACTCACAACAAAACAAAAACAAAAAAATTAACACGAAATAACAAAAATTTAATATCTGTGCGCATACGGACACTACATGATGTTCTTATTAATTTCAATATGAATATCATCAAAGATATTTTAATCGTTTCCAAACAATCTATAAGCAACCTTTAGCATAAAATCAGAGATGCTTATTTAATTGATTGCGACTACTTTAACAAATTGTTATGGTAAAACGTTCTGAGAAGTTTTCCTAAATAAATGAAATTTTAAGATAACACCCAAAAAACATCGTTTTAATTGAAATAAAGAAAATAATATATAGTATAATTTTCCAGTCTGAAAATTGTTTTTTTTTGCTTCTTCTCTTTGCTTGTAAATTTCACTGTAGAAATATATCATTTAGTTGCAATATAAAGAAACCAGAAGATTTTGTTTTTTTTTTCTTTAAATCTATTATAATTTTTTTCTGTATAAATGTTACTTGGATTAAACAATCAGGTCCATATAAGACGGTACTTAATAGAAATTTCTCAGCGGCGCTTCAACAGGTTGAATTACGTTTTGCGCTCGCTCAAGTTCGTGCTCCATCAAGGATAAGTTCTCTATAATGTTGGATTATTGCACTGCTTGAAACAAGTTAATGGTTTATTATTGTTTGGTTATGACCAATAATTCGGGGAAGTATAGAATTATGCACTCGAAAGAAATGAGGAATCGATATCAGAATTAGGACTCTTTTTATTCGGGTTCGGTCAGCGGCGAGACAGTGGCAGAGTATTAAAATTAGACAGCGGATGATATCAAGCCAAACCAAAAAAATGTAATAGCGAAAATGTTGTCGCACTAGCAAAGCCTCCTGTTAAACAGGGACACAACAGCGGTTCGCCGTGATGAGCTGTACAGCTCTTGTGTTGGTCCTTTCCACCGTGGATAAATGGTCCTAATTCATCAAATGATGACAGCCAAACTTATTAGCGACAATAGCCAAGCTGCAAATTAAACCAGTTTGAGAGAGGCAGTCATGAGAAGCCATGAGGAAATCATGTCGATGAGAAATCAAATCGCCCACCAAAAAAAAAAGAATCTATAGAATCCCAGGTCGGGTTTTTAAAATTTTCAATCGAATCAGTATCTACAATAATTTACATCACTCACCTCTTCTACGGGGTTTTCTCTTGATGCCCTTAAAAGGTCTTTGACAACTCCAACAGGGGAGAAAGTGAATGACGAAATAGCGATATAATCTTCACCAATCTCTACATCTTTTCTGGCATCTGATTGGCTCAGCCTAATTTCGACCTTCTTTTCATTTTCAAAGAAATGGTTGAAAGGCAATGTCACCTTTACTTTACGTAAGAATGGAGTGTGATCTTTTTGCGAGATGAACAACACAGGCGTGATCAACCGTTCTCCTTCTATCTTTTCTGGTTGTAGTTGTATCTCGAAGAATACTTTTTTCGAGCCAATAATAGAGAAACGAGGAAACTGCACACAAATTTGCCTAGACCTAAAAAAATGAGCGTTAGCAACTAAGACAGATAAAATATTTCTAAACTTTGATAAAGAAAACTTATTTTTTCAGCAACCATTTACAAAAGCTACACTTCTGCTAGAAAACTTATAAACAAAATTTTAATTTGTCAAATTGATTCATTTGACTTTCTCACCTCCCATTTTCCATATACGCGAACGAAAGTTTCTTTTCATCTTGGCTTAGGACGACCGATTGGTAATGCCAGTAAGAGTCCTCCATCACAAATTTTTCTTCTTTCGGGGCTGAAAACGACTATTTTTCTATTTGTCTCGTTTTATGAGTAGAAGGTGAACAAAACAATCATTTTTGTTAAAACTTCAAAAAATTATTATTTTCAAAAAAGACATGCGAAAGTGTTCTATACACTTTTTGCAACATTGGGAGCTAATTGTTTGGACCTTTGACGAAAACGAAATATTTTTTCTTGGGGCGGTTTTTTTATTTAGACAGTTTTCGACTAGTTAATTTCAACTTAATTTTTAAGGAAGTTTTTTATAGCATCTGATAAATATTGTTATCTTGAGCACAAATTTGAAAAGAGATTTCACCTACAAAATTTTTTGTAAGGTTTTCGAAAACTGAAATTTGCTAATTTGGCCAATTTGGGATAATTATTGCGCAATCTATTGCGTTACTATAACACGCTTGAGCGGCAAATTGATGCATTTCAATTTGAATTTAGGCAGGTCATTTGGTCGTATTATCAGAATACAACACGCTAAATACATCCCTTTGTATTTCATATTGGCGTGATTGGGGGATGAATTGAAGAAAAATCGAAAAATAGAACGCTTTCCTCTCAAAATTTTTAATTCACAAAGGCATCAATGGCGCCTTTGAAACAATTCTGTTGGATAACAGATGTCAAAAACTTTAGCTCAATGAGACTCTTCTCGTGAAAAAAGAACAGTCCAATACACTATCCCGACAAGCGCCCCTGATTTAACAAATTAGAAACAACTTATGGTTGTCCAATCCTTTCAAACACTTCACGAGACCAAACTGAGTATATTGTGAGTTTCAAGTAAAATTTACAACAAGGATGCTCCCTATGATAATTTTTGATCTTGTATTTCCTTTGATCGTGACGAAAAAATTTTAACATCTTTTTGAAGACTTGGCTCGGGAATCCAGTGCTCTACACACACCAAAAAGTACGCCTACCTAGAAACAGTTTGGACGGGTAATGTCTAAATAACATTATTTTTTTTTCGGTAAATTAAAAATGATAATGCCAGCTGAGCTAGAAATTACCTCATGTTGTAAAAATAAAGATGAAAGCTTACGTATGCTAAGAACATTATGAGTTAGGACCGAAGTGTATAACTCATAGAGTAATTTCGGATAGGGTACACCGTCTGCTCGTCACGCTATCTTATTTTCGGCCGGATAGATTCGTGCAACTTCTTAGTCTAATACCGATCCTAATCTTACTCTTATACTATCTAGTCTCAGGTTGTTTAACTAGTCTCTGCTAGGCTCAATAGATCTAGGGTATACTGGTTTATTGCGGCTGCTGAAGTCTTCTTGGAGAGTCAACTAATTTCTAAGTTAAATTCAAATCTCTCTGGTGCTGAAATTACAAGTAATTTCAGCACTTACAAATAAGTGGGTTGTTAGTTAGATGGATCATGATTGGTTAATATTAAATACTTTACAGTGGTAAAATATCTAATTTATCCAATCATAAAATGTAGTTTAGATCAGGTTCCACCCATCCGGGTCTTACAGAGTTTTTTAGAATAGTCTTTCTGCAATTCAAAGGATGGATGATGGACGTTGGTATTTGGCGAACATCTTATTTCTTCTGGGTTTTCTTATTAGAGATGTCCCAGATTCAATCGTTGTGTCTTCTCAAGACAACGACTGGGTTTTTGCAACAAACTCAAATCTGATTTCAGAATGGTTGGCTATGACAGGTTTTTCCGTTTCATGTAGAGAACTTCTTTTGTGTTTGACCTTGTCTGGGAATGGCGTGGAGATTGTGCGTGGAGGGGATGCCTGGTTACTCGGATCTGTACGTATACTTGAACATCGACGTGGTCATTGTTCTAGTTCAATGAAGTCCTTTTCTGCGAAGTCAAGTCGTACTCTAAATCCTTTGAGTTGTGATTGTGGGCGGCATATTGATTGTGGTTGGCCATTCTTTTTCGAGTGTAGTGGGGTCATCTTGTCTTTGGATGTTCGTCTTTGGTGTTGTATGCTGATCTATATACTGCAAGGTATAATTTACATTTTATAAAATTTTTATTAGTTTGGTGTTTTAATTATGATTTTGGTTAGTTGTTTTCACAAAAGCTTTTTGTTTTAGTTCAGTTATTTTGAAGAGTTACTCACCCTTGAGTACCTCTTATTAAAATTAGAAGTGTGGTCACAAAGCGTGGATGTAGCACGGTGGGTTAGGCCGGCTATAGAGCATGCTCAGGACGTCCTCTTCTGGTGGGTTAGGCCAGGAGTGGGAGTATGATTGCATGCGGTTTTTGTGAGAGGTCCTGTTATGTGACAACGTTTTATGTTGGGTTTGTTGTGGTTTTTCTTATGTTTTGTTGGTTATGTCCTTTTTTCAAAAATCAAATTGTTTGTGGTATGGGTTTGTCTTTCGACTTTTTTGTGTTTTATTATTTCTTTCTTAGACTTTATAATAGTCTTCAAAAGAATAAATTATCCAGTTTTAAACTGGGTTAATCCGGTTTGGGTACCGTTGGTTTCCTTTTCTTAGTCATGCTGTTATTCTATGATTTGTGAAGTTTAGTAAGCTGCGTTGGTTAGTGTTGTTTAGTATATAATTCCTTTCCAACCGGGTTAAAGGAAAGTTTGAAACTTGTTATCGTGTGTTAGAGTTGTTGAGTGTGAAAGCTTGAAACTGAAATTCATTATTTAAACAATTCTTCGTGGGCGAGCTGTGCGAGTGTGGATAGAATTTTTGTGCGAATGAATGGAAATATCAAAAGGTTAGTACTGCATTTTCGTTTTATCAATTTATTACATAGAAATGTAAATTTACTGCTAGTTGTTGGGGAAAATTAAGTTACAAATTTTCATCATTATTAGATTTACTGCATTTGGGAAAAAATTTATAAATTAAATTACTGCATTGGTATTATTTTTATTTAATTGTTTGGTGCAAAAAATTAATAGAGTTTTTAACAGTTTGAAGAAGTTTTCAATTTTCATTTTCTTTTGTGAAGTTTTCAGATGATCGTTGGATGAAGGCTAAAATTCTAAAGAAGACATGAATAAAGAATGGTTAGTTTCTAATTTTAATTTAATTAGTTAATAATATGTATAATTCATATTTACCTGTTAGTCGTCGGGGAAGAAACCGTGGGGGAAGATGTCGTGGATGAGATCTGAAGTTGTTAGTAATTTAGCTAAGATGCGGATGATATTTTTAGTTTGAAGCAGTGGCCAAAGCAATTGAAGTGCTTTAATGGTGGATAGTTCTTCAGTGCCAACTGCAAACTCGTAAGGTGTGTTTTGCATTAGATTATATAATTTGTGATTGAATTTAGTGTTGTGGATGAATTCTAAAATGGGGATTTCTATAGGTTGAACAAATTAGTGTGGGAGAAGGAAGGGTCGGGATTCTTCTGCGTTGAAGGTCTTGGTGATGGGACAAAAAATATACATTTGGGTTATGGGATCATAATTTCGAAGAATACCATGAATGTTAGTATCTTTAATGCAATATGTGAAGTTGAGAAAGAATGGTGAGGTGTATTTGGAATTGATGAATTGAAAACGGTGGTGTGGTTGTCTGGAGGGAGTGTGTAGGTCGAAGTGATTTTGGATAAAACGATAATATGTATATGTGTGAGTTTGTTTAGTGCGCAACATAATATCGTGTGAGCAGTGCAAATCTCTTTCATGTGGTGCAAGGAAATGAAAGGTTAGTGAAAATATTTGGAAGCGTTCTTTAAAACTTTCGTAGGCTTGCGTGTCTGTTAGTGCTTCTGAGATGATGTGGTCAAATTTGCGATCAAATATATTGAGTGTAAAAACATATGGTGTTTTAATGAAAAATTTTTCTGTGATTTGTGGGTTAGCGAAGCGGTCGTCGTCTAAGAATTGATCTTGGTTAGTTCTGATGATGTTATGATCGTAATATTCTAGCGTATATTCGTTAGCTCGGGGTGCAGTGTATGTTTTTAGTGATTTTTTATATCCGATGTAAGTAAATTGTCTAGGTGTTAGTGGTGTAGTGAGTCGATATAGCATGTCCTTATTTCGTTCTATATCGATGTGAGTGTTAGATAAAGGTAAGCAAAGGGGATTAGTAAAATGATAATACGAGGTCCAAGGAAGGGTAGGCATTAAAACGTGTTCGTCTACAAAGTTACGTGTTTCGTTAGTGTCGTGAGGGGTGTTTAAGGTGTATTGTGGAAATGAGGGCAAGGTGATAGCTAAAAATTCTTTTGTATTAGTGTGATTTGGGTGATTTATATATTCACGGGCTGTTCCTGGTTTTGCTGGGAAAGGATGGTTGGGGAACTTTCTTTTAAAAGTGCGGTAAGCTCTATTAGTGCTGAGTGAAGATTCAGTAGATGTGGATGATGGTGCTAATGATTCGGTATAAATTGAAGAGGGTGTAGGGGTAGGAGGGTTGGATGAATCTATTGTGGATGAAATTTGGTTTATGGTGGGGGTGTCAAGGTGGTAGGGTTGTTGTTGTAATGTAATAAAATTATCTAGTTCTGGGGATATTTGGGGGGTATCTGGAGAATTGGATGATCGGTCTGAATGATATGAAGAATAGGTTGGAGTGACTTGGGAAGCATAAGAGGGTGTAGAATTGGTGGGGACAGGGTTATTTGGTAGCATTGGTTGAAAAGGGGGTTGGGAAAAAATTGAAGGGTTGGTGTGAAAATTATTGGATGGAGATGGCTCAGAGTCGGCAAATTCATCGGGGGTTTCAATATTCGAGTTATTGAGTTGTGATGTGGAGTATAAAACTGAGATGTGTGAATTAGTATCGGAATTCATGCCTGATGTTACATTACTGGTTGGGAAATCGGGTGGCGGGAAAGCAAAAAGTGGAATTATTGTAATTGGAGTAGTGAGGTTGGTTGGATGGGAATTTGAACGGTGTAGGGATCCAAGTTGTCGGCTCATCGTGGGCTAAAAAATTTATTATTTTGAGACTGAAAAGTGGTGGTATGGGGTTGTTCTATAATTTGTTCATATGTATTTTCATCTTGTGAGTGGTGTGTCATTATATGTTGGATGGGACTTTGTGATATGG